AGCTGACCGGCACTGTTTATTTACCGGGTTATGTAATGATGACCGGTCTTTAGCCAATTCCTCACAGCTTCACAAATCTGGTCGACGCGCACACCTCAAAGCCTCTTCCTTTTATCACAAGAAACGCACCAATGCGAGTAGGGAATCAGACTTTGTTCGCAAGTATGAAATGCAACAGTACAATACATTAACATCATCAACAACAACAACACCAATTGCCGACAGGAGGTAAAGAATATCTATACGTCGTGACGCCTCGCAATGATCAAGTACTATTACTGAAGGTCATGAGTCTCCGGCGAATGTTCAATAGGCGCTCTTTTCTTGTCGAGAGCATTAGGCGTCTCTGAGCAATGGAAGCATCTTCGCTGACCAACTCCTTCATACGCTCAGAGAAGTTGGGTCCAGATGCGGCATCAGTCAGTAAGCTCGTAAGAAGGCTCTGCGAAAGTTGTTTTGCTAGGGCATGATGAAGAGCATGCTCGATCGTGAAAGGAATATGGTCGATGATACGCTGCTCAAGGTGATAAGCGCGTCGAAAGGGAGATGATGAGCGAGACTCACCTTATAAGCAACGTGAAAGTAGGCTCGAACGTCAGCCATCACAACCAACTCTTCCTCGAATGAGTCGGGAGGTAACAAGCGTGCAAGATCTGAAACTTGAAGACCCGCATACCCTGCTTCTGCAAGAGCCCTCAAAGCTTTGGCTTTGGGCGCCTCTTTGGTTTCGGTCCCCTCTTTGGTTTCGATTAGCCCCCCAAATCCACTATATATACTACTAGACTTTGGCTTATCGAATGAGGGCGAATCCTTGGGAGGTGGTGGATCGTCACATTCGTCTTCAGGAGCTAGCCGTGATGGAGCATCGGAAATCTTGGATGACTTATGTTTCTTTCGTATAGGTGCCATAGGTGCCATGTACAGAGCAGGTCTACTCCGAACTGTCTTATAATGAGCCAGCCATTTTCCACGGAGTGTCTGAAGATAGTGCGTGTTCTGAGTATAGTGTGGAATAGTTTCCAGATCCAACGCTGTTTTGACGGCGTCTTTGGCACGCGCCCTGCAGATGTCAACCTGAATTCGAATCAAATTGCTGATTTCAAAGACAACTTGAGCCCAGACGATGGTCATGAAGAGTCAACGCTTACCCAAAATATTCCTCGAGAACCTTGAAGCGTCCAAAATGGGTGCTTATGAGCGTGTCGACAACTTGGTCAAGCACATTATTGACACCAGCAAGACAGCGCTCAGACGGAACAACCCAAAGTTTAGTGAATTGAGTAATGAGGTTTGCCTTTGCCTGATATGGCACGTTGTTCGGAAGCTCCCATCCAATTGCCCTTGATGAATGATTGAGCTGCCGTCCAAATACAACAAAATAGGAAAACAAACTCTTGGATGACCCTGCGGATGTCATATATGCCCATCACTTTCACGCCTGGGTCTCGCTCAGTAAGAGTCATGTTTCCTTCAGTATCATCCAGTGGAACATAGCCTTTCGGGTCATTGAAAGGCCTAAAGTCAGGGGCAGTGCCGCGTATGTTCCTTTTGAAAATAGCATAGAGAGCACGATTCTGCTGTGCAAGACTTTTGTCTTCGTGACTGCCATTCACAAAGCTCTTGAAGTCATCGCAGAACGTATTAACTCGTCCTAGAACTTCGATTTGTGGGTCGTTTTCAAGTGGTGGGGGCAGTTCATCGAAATCCTTGGTACATTTCGCGAGGAGCGTGTCGACATCTTCTCTGAGACATGGTAAACTATAAACAATGTAAGCGCTTCATAACGAGTCAGCTAGAACAAGGTCCACGCACGTTTCCTCAATCAATTGAATGAGCAGTCGGCTTATATCAGAGACAAAGCCTGGAATGCCGAACCTATGACGCTCGGTTACGTCCTTCCAGGGCGACGTCGTATCAAAATATTCAGCAGCACGCCTTTGCGACTCAGCACGAGACAGGCGCTGTGCACGTTCGGAATCATCGGGAAGACGCACGCAGTAAAAACCGTGCATCAGTGTGTGCTCCTCCGAACGGCCTTCGATGATTTCTACCCATTTGCGGCGCTGGTTGATAGCTCCAGTACCAAGCGTGTCAGGCTTCGTAAGCACGCCTGAAGAACTTTAGGTCATTTAATCGCTGTCCTGCAGTATGGGTGGCTCACCGATTGTTCGCTTTCCATTGGGGTCAGCGGCCCTGGCGAGACTCATAGATTGTTGATTTTCCATATCATCTGGTACCACACCCATCAATTCAGTAGAAAATAATTTTGCAGTTCAAACACGTACCGCTCATGGGAATTGTAGTCAATATGATAGTATTTTTTTTCTCGATGTAATGTTCTGCCAAGTTTTTCACCAACGCGACAGCTTCGGGTTCTTCGTTTTGTATTAGGCCTTCACTGCTCATCAGATATGTCGTCTCGATCCATATAAGCTTAATTTACCAGGTAGATCATAGAATGACAGGTCAGTTGCGTCGGGATCTTCAATCGAGACGCATACTACGTTGCGGGAAAACTTCAATGTGTTTTTTATGTTCTTGAGTTCCTCGACGGTCTTTGCGTGGAAAGTCGAAGAAGCAACATTCGGGTTCAGGATGGCTGCCTGAGCACGACGCAGCCAAACTTCGAATTCACTTCTGTCAGTGATCGTTGGGCCAAATAGTACATTAGTAGGCTTTTGAAGGTCTAGGCCGTTGCTATCGAAACCGATACGTAGAGTGATGGTGCAGGACCACGATTTGGCATGACTAGACATGTTACATTCCATAGGGCATCTGCATATCGTAGTATGAGCATACCCGCGATAGCTAGTAGTTATTAGAGTCACCTTGTACACGTCCCGCTATCTCTTGGGACGTTGATCTTTATTGTAAAGAAAAAAATGAATAAAGGAATAAAAAACAAACTATCTGCCTACGTACCCCACTGACGGCCTCGACGAGTGAACTTTTGCCCGCTGAAATTCAGGTTGAGTATAGCTGTGGGTGAGGGAGGTGACCACAAACCGGATTGGCCACCAATTACGACCACGGATGGTAAGGCAATCAACGCGTCGGCACTGTGGAAGGTAGCGTGAGCAATTTGAGGTTAGCAAAACCATAATCACCCACCCCATGGATCGAAGGTCAGCCATCATTTCCATAAGTTCCCTGCGCCTGCGGGCATAGTCGGTGGATGATATGTCTACTTCCTCCCATGGCTCTGGAGGGCTCATGGAACCAGAGATGGAAGGGAGAGACGTAACATCAAGAGAGGGTTCAATTGAGGGTTCCGTCGAGGCTGCTTGTTTGCGTCTATTGCGAAGTAAATCCATGGTAGATTGAATGATAGAGGCGTATTGAACACGACATTAGAATGGCCTCTGCTTTTATGCGCCGGATTTCGGTTCAGAGGCTTCTTGAACACGTGTGTCGACGTACAATGCACCGTGACCGCAGCTTAAAGTCCAACCAAGTCGTAATCCACGGCATAATGCAAAAAGAAGCGCCTTTAGATGCCCGCATGCATGGCTGTTAGCGACATGTTATCATGCATCGAGGGCGATTCCTACGTGAAGTAATATGTCACGACCAATCATAGAAGATCTGCGATGACCTTTTAGGCAAATCATGTTGCTCTGGCACTATCGGTTTTCATATCAGAGCCCATTCACACACGCAAGTACGTGTACAGGATCATCGGAAGACGGACACGTGCAGGAGATAAGGCTGTTATCACATCCATGAGTCTTGTATGACTCAAGAATGAATCAATGGTGGTGATGAGTTCAAAGTTTTTGGTATCGCATTTAGAGTTAGATCCTGACTAAACGTCACAGGTCACAGTTTGTCACACCCAGATCACGTTGAAGTAAGGTAGAAGACATCCAAATCCAACCACATTTTGAGACACCATTTTGCACAACTTATTGCACTTTCCTTATCCACTTTCCGGACATTCTTTTTGCACTAATCTGTTCCTAAGACCTCCCTGCATAGACTGATGGTCTTAAATTTTCTCAAAACCAAGATTTGAGAGACTTATTTCTGCTTTTTGTATTTGTTTTATTTCTTCCCCAAATACATTTCCGACACTATAGGCGGAAAATAAAATATTTACCCTGTGGATTTGGCCACATCATGTGATTTAATATAACCATATATGGTAGCTTACATAATACCTGGCCCTAAGCTAGCATTACTTGCCGGTAATCAGTTGTAACCATACTCTAAGTACTATTTGCTGCATGGTTATTTACAAGTGTGGTTGTATTATCAGAGTGAAAAAAAGTTAATTTGATTGAAAAGATCATTTTTTTTGATGTTGCCAAAGTGATTTTCAAAGCAAATAGTGGTTTTGAATTTTTGAGCTTTGAGATTTGGGCGTGGGAATGGTCACGTGATCACATGAGCGCAGTGGTTGAATCTAAATGTCGTCTACCTTAGAAATGTTTCGAACGAGGAAACTCACGGTCACAGCACAGGCTTACATCAGCCTTCCCGAAAGGGAATAGGCGCGTGCTGTGGTGCGGCTGCGAGGAAGAAACGTTCCAGCGTGCATTGAGGATGAAACGAAGCATCCGACGTGTCAAAACCAAGGGCCATTGATGGGCAACGATGATGGGCGCGTATTGGCGCGGTTTTTTGGGATCTAGGAAGGCTGTGGAGGCAGAGGGAGGAGGACAAATGGTGCATGGTTGTTGGGTGAGACAGTTATGAGGGTGAGAGCCGAACTGCAGTGGGGCCAAGCGAGCTGATGCTGTCAAGGACTGTAACTTTCCCACAGAGACCGTGAATTTCTCGACCTGCAGCTGTCTGCATGGTCCGTTTTTCTTGCAGGTGTGCCAGCCAACCAAGGTATGAAGCCTCCCCATCTTGAAAACTTCACTGTCCCAAGATTTACGGTCCTAGGGTGATATACTGCCCACGGCTCATTCGGGCACATCATCTCTCTGTTTGTGGGTGAGATTCTCATTCTGCGCTTGGCACCAATGCCCCCCCAGGAAAATGGTTGATTGGCGATGCTGTTCGCTCATGCTGCTGTCATCACCACCATCACACTGATGCACATCGACGACTCTCTCAATGACTGGCTAACATCCCCCCCTTCAGTCGGAGGCACCACCACCAGCATGTCTACACTCTCGCGCACAGTATGATCCTCTGTCCTAACACCCATTTTAGCGACTGACGTGCCAGACAGGCTAACTTATGCTTCAAGCTCGTCTTTACTGCCATCTCCCTCTTGCCAAGTAGTCCAATCTTGTCCAATCTTGTCTTAATATCTACCGTTCTCCCATCTCCCTCTTGCCAAATCCTTCTGGATAACCTGCTCAAGCTCGTCTATCTCATCTTAATATTCACCATCATCTCTGCTCTTGCCAAGTCTTTCTGGATAACCCGCTCAAGCTCATCTATCTCATCTTAATATTCACCATCATCTCTGCTCTTGCCAAGTCTTTCTGGATAACCCGCTCAAGCTCATCTATCTCATCTTAATATTCACCATCATCTCTGCTCTTTGCCAAGTCTTTCTGGATAACCCGCTCAAGCTCGTCTATCTCATCTTAATATCCACCATCATCTCTGCTCTTGCCAAGTCTTTCTGGATAACCTGCTCAAGCTCGTCTATCTCATCTTAATATCTCCCCTCTTGTCAAGTCTTTCTAGATAACCCGCTCAAGCTCGTCTTTCTCGTCTTAACAATTCACATCATTTCCCCTCCTCTTGCTAGATAACACGCTCAAGCTCGTCTATCTTGTCTTTATATTCACATCATTTCCCTTCTTGCTAGATAACCCGCTCAAGCTTGTCTATCTCATCTTAATATTTACCATCATCTTCTGACAATCCATTGCTGCATTGCTGCAACTTTTCAGGCTGAGCAAACTACATTTAAGTTGCCTATACTGCATCTCCCTCTGAACCTCCAGCTGCATTTTAGGTTGCTGACTGCATCTCCCTCTGAACCTCCAGCTGCATCTATCGCGGGCGTGAAAATCCCATTTCATGCCTTTACGACTGAACTCATGCACAAGTGCAAGTGCGACCACAGGCTGTGCATGGGTCACTCCCAGCTCGTTCAGGATTGAAGTAGTCTTCTCGCTGGAGTTGAGGTGCGTCAGTCCAGGAGAGAAGGTACTTAAAAATAGTGCCAGGGTTATCAAAATTCTCTGCCCAGCCCCCCCAAGTGCAGATCTGGCAGAGTGGCCACCAAAGTACCATGGCCAGGTACTGACAACCTCCACGACGGAAAGAATGAGTGCTGTATGGCTGGGGGTCGATGCCAATATCAAGCAGGTTGTTTCAGAAGTACTCGAGGAAGGAATCTGCAGTCTGCAATCGCAGATCAGTGGGACTGAGGGCCGATGACCATGACAACTCACCATTCCATCATGAGCATTTGCACTAACACCATCTCGTCCCATTTTTTTTGCGAAAAACATAGCCATTCATGTTGAGGCCGAGATGCCGACAGTGATGCCACCAAGCTGCCCATGCACGAACTGGACACATCCATGGTTTGTTGGGATTTTCGTACAGGAAGAATGGCACAATACCTGCATTGGGTGAATCAGAAGAGAGCAGAGTAGTTTTTCTTTCTGAACTGACCTCCATATTGATGAGTCTTGCGAAAAGGGAGCATGAGCCTGATTCGACGCTGTCGTGGCTGATAGTATTCAAACTGGACATCACTCCATGTGATGTGAAGAACCTCCTCAAACTGGAGCAGCAAGAGCATGGCTGTGACGAACATCAGCTGCAGCATGAGCCGAACTGTAGAGCCCGCCCAGCTCTGGGGTGCCTCAATTTTTCATTTGTTTGATGTCGGACCAAAGTCCTCGTCAATGAAATTGATGTTGTACTCATACAGCTCCCTCATGGTCTGCTCATCCATTGCACATGCACTCGTGACCACCTCTCCAGCTCGAACCTGAATGGTGTATGAGAATGTGAGTTGAGCAACCTTTTCGAACACAAGGCCTACCTTGATGACCCAAGCTTATCATGTACTGTGATACTGTCACCGAGAGTGATGGATTTCCCCGCAGGCAATAATGTCATTATGATGTATTATATTGCTGTCATGGTAGAAGGAAGGTGATATATCCTGGTTTATGACACGATGTGTGGGAAGATGATACATCAATCATAGCGCTGTGATATAACACCTATTTACTGAGGATATACCAGCAGTAGAGCCATGATATATCAAAGATATATCATATATTCCCCAGCTGCAGTACTTGCATATATCACCTACTACTAGTAGTACCTGTGATATAACACCTATTTACTGAGGATATACCAGCAGTAGAGCCATGATATATCAAAGATATATCATATATTCCCCCAACCGCTGTACTTGCATATTTCAATGATATATCATCTCCTACCTTAATGCCCCCAGTAGAACATGATATATCATAGATTACCCTGGCTGCAGTACTTGTATATTTTAATGATATATTACCTACCTCAATGCCCTCAGTAGAACATGATATATCATATATTCCCCTGGCTGCAGTACTTAAATATTTTAATGATATATCACCAGTGACCTACTAGCACATTCCTTAATCTCACTTGCTTCGTAAATTAAAATCCACAACGAGTGACACACAAGGGCACAAGTCCCACAATTCAATAAGTCAAAGCAAAAACAAAAAAGTTGATAAGTACTAGTACTACTAGATATGCTGAGATCATCTGCTTCGAAGTTCCATGATCTCGCTGTGTATGAGCATGGCTATGCAAGTGCTGCCGCCATTCGGTTGGCATACATGTGAGAATTTCCAGTCTATTGATATGGTACTCGCCTTATGGTTTGCGGCGCAGGTTTACCACCTGCCTCGATGTGAGCAAGATGGGGCTGCAGGTTAAACCCCATGTCTTTGAGGCAGATCGCAAGTCTTGTGGTAAATGCAAGCCCTACTATATGGCCGCTCTTGAACAGAACATCGAGGGTCAAGAGGTATCGAAACGCAAAGGCTCGACTCTGTACATCCTGGATGCCCTTGTTGATGAGGGCCATTGCCTCTGTGGGCTTCCACACTTCATATATTGTTCAGGTAGCTACATTAAAAACATGACAGACTACAATATATCTACTTGCGAGACTTTTTCTTCGACCCCTCACCACTGCGCTGGACTTCGGTCTGCTTCCTCTTTGGTGCAGGCTTTGTTCCTTGCTTGACACCAATTTTGTTGGCTTCAGCAGCTTGCGTAGAAGGACGCAGTGGGCGCTTGGTGCGTCTGTTGGAGGCAGCAGAGACAACAGGTAACGAAGACACCGTCTCCGTCTCCAAACCAGGTTGGAGAGTTTCACCAGCCAAGACTCCCCCGATGTCACAAGGTGACAGCTGGCGAGAAGCCGCAGAAGACCCCTGGTCAATGGACAATGGTTGATGAGGAGCTGACAGGGGTTGGTGTTCGGTAGACTTGAAATGAATTGACTTGGGTGGTGTGGATGTAGACAGGAGTGACGGTGTGATAGTCGTTAGCAAGGACAATGGAATATGGGTGTCTGGGGGTGCATGCGGCCCCAAATTGAACATCGGTTGGTTGAATGGCAATGGATTGCCATGCGGTTCCATGGACAGTCCATTGACCTCCTCAAGTGCAGAAAATTGATTCATTTGCTGAGCCAAGAGCGAAGCAGGCTGGGGCAAGAGGGTGGTGTGAAACAACGACAACGGATGAAACATGAGAGGAGGGATAGCTTCGACTGATGGATCCGCCATGCTGACACCTGGCCATTGAGTGCGATTAAAGGTGGGGGATGTAGTTAGTGGGTCTTCATCAAATGCTGTCGACTTTCTCCAAGCAGTGATTGGCGTATCTGTCGTGTTATGAGCAAATGTGATAGGGTTCAAGTCAGTGCACATCGACCACTCACCATGTTCTTTCATTCCTGCAAGTGTGTTGAAGTCCGGAGAGGGATCAAGCACATTTCCAACCAAGGACTTGTCCTCCGGTGAGATCAGGCCAGGTGGAAGATGGGGTGAGGTTGACTCATCCTCCAGTGAGATCAGGCCAGGTGGAAGACGGGGTGAGGTTGACTCATCATCCAGTGAGATCAGGCCAGGTGGAAGACGGGGTGAGGTTGACTTGTCCTCTAGTGAGATCAGGCCAGGTGGAAGATGAGGTGAGGTTGGGGTGGATGAGGGAGCCACTGGCAGCGTGGACTTTGAAGATGCACCTATGGTAAATTTTCATTAATCATAATTTTGAGTCACATAGCCAGGAATCACTTACCATAGATGTGTTATGCACTCAAATAGATCTGTTATGCGGAGCCCTAAGAGGGGCGTCGTCCGCTAACGTTCGTGACGTAACCGGAAGGGTCCGGTGTAGCGACTGAGACTGGCGACGTCGAGTCGGCAGATATCAGAGACGCGCGTGTCACGTGACTTCTAAGACGGATGTCTTCAAAGTCACTGATGTTCTCAAAGTAAGGACAGTCTTGTCCGAACAATGAGGTAGTCGATCGAGGTAGACTTAGGCGCGACGAGCACCTAAGAAAAGATACTAGAGACTGAAGCTGAGGGGGCTTCAGAGGGAAGTATGTTCGAGGGAAGATTGAGTAGATTCAAGTTAGGGAATCTAGTACAGAGTGACCGACTACTTATACTAAGTGGAAAGGGTTAAGGGCAAGGCTACCGTACTGTAGGTAAGGGCAAAGGGGAAATGGAAAGGGTATAGGTACTCTGGTAGCAGAGCCTGATTAGTGATGTAAGGTCGAATGCGGAATGAGACCGAGAAACGTTGGAACGAGCCAACGGTAAATGATACAATGTGCAGCATGCACGAGTCAAAGGAAAGATAAGACAAGATAAGGAAAGCCACATTGGTGGCACGAGTCAGAACGAGTCATAGCCCGAAGGCACGTGCGCACGTTGGTGCGATAGGAGGGGGATGAGGGACGGGAACGGTCCCGAGGATCCGGTTAACGGATAGTCGGTAGAGAAGTACGAGCCGGAGGCATACGAGGGCGAGGACGAAGGGGAAAAATGATAGGGGGGCCATGTAGCCGATGTTACTTGTAACATTACCCCCGTTTCAAGGTAGAGTTCCACGAACTCTTTAGTCGTCGTCCAGGGGAACGTAGTCGTCCTGGTTGTTATACCACACGGGGTCGAAGTCGAGGTCTTCGAGCCAGGAGGCGGCTTCGATTGCATTCTCTTCGCGTTCTTGCTCAAGGCGAGCAGTGTCCTGGTCATACGCAGCTTCGAGCTGCTGCATGTCCCTGTAGAACCGGTTGGAAGAGGTTCCACGGCGAAGGATCTTCCTGCCGTCGAGTCGAGGGCAGAAGGGAGTGAGATGTTTTGGGGCAAATTGCCCACAAATGCGGCAGAAGTATTGCGCGCAGTGTTTCTGTTTGTGTCCATAGACATGGCACTGGCGGCAGACAACGTTGCTGCGGTAGACCTGGGTGGTCTCGGTGGCATCACGACGCGCGTCGTTGATGGTGTCTTCCTGGGCTTCCTCGCGAGGATAGTGCCTAGTGAAGTTCTGGGTGCGCGGGCGATGCGCATGGGAGAGGAGTAGTCCTAGGGACAAGATGGATCGTGCACGAGCACGGTGATTTCGGCGTTGCGGAGTGGGAAGAGGTTCCGGAGAACCAATGGAGAGATGTGGGACTACTTCAGTAGGTACCCAATCGTCGGGGTTGAGAACAGGTGGTTCGGGAGGGCACTCATCCAACTCCGGGATGGTGATAGAGATGGTGTCGACATCAAGGATGGGGGAGGGGTTACGTGGAGCGTAGAGCTCGCGTTCGTATTCGTTGTAGAGACAGTCGATCTCGGGGTTGGTCAACTGGGTGACGTTGGGGATCTGCTCTGGTGATTCAGAGCGGGGTAGTTGGGGAAGGAAGGGGGTCGGAGCTCTGTCATAGACAGCATGCTCGACGACTGCAAGCGGGTCGGGAGGGGGATTAAATGCCCGCTCCTCCTCGACGGCCATGACAGCGGCATGGAAGTTCCTGAGCTCAAACAGATTTAGCAAGGCTCGCTTGATCTTGCCTTGGTTATATCTGGTCGAGACGGTGGATAGGGAAATTTCCCTAGCCAAGTCGATCCTGGCGATATCGCCGGTGAGGGCGTCGGTGGCCCTGAAGGCCTGGACAAGATTCATGGTGATGTCATCGTTGGTGCGGTTGAGATAATTGTCGAGTCGAAGTGCATACTGGGGGTCGCAGATGACTGCTTCCCAGTAGGCCCGTTGCCTATCTTGGACAACTGAGCGAAGGGATGGTCGTCAGAAGATGGTGTATCCCGGGGGGGAGGGCCTATCATGGCCAGGCGTTGGCTGGCTCGTCAGGTCGCGGTCGGAGGCAGACGCATGAGAGGTAGCGGATCGGTGCGAGGAAACAGACGACGCTGAGACCAACATAGTGAAGCGTCTTTCCTTGGGTAGTGGCGTAGGTGGGGTATTGGGTAATGGGTCGCTGTTTGTCGATGGGTTTGGGTTTTGTGGGGCGGTGGCGATTGCAGATTCGTTGGCGATGGAAGGTTTTGGTGTCGGTGTGGATGGGTTCGTCGGTGGGGTCAGCCCTCGTGTAGTGAGGGCGGTAGGAGAAGTTGCAGTGGCGTTTGTTGATCAACATGAGATGGCGATTGAAGCGATCTTGAGTCGCTTCTTATACGCCTTCAGGAGCTCCGCTGCGGACTTCAATTCTGTTTCGGGGAGCCACGTTCATTCGGAGGCAGGATAGCCAACCCAAGACACGAGGTACTGGCGACGCGATCCGGTACCCTTGTGTTGGAGGATAGCTTCCACTTCGTAGTGTTCCTCTCCATCGATAAGATCGGGAGGAGGTTCGGTGAAATTCGGTCCATGCACGTCTGTCTCCTGATAGGAGGAAAGTTCCGAGGCATGGAACGTGGGGTGGATACGCCAGCTGGCAGGCAGCTTTAGCTGGAACGTGATGGGGGAGAGGACTTTCTGGATTGGGAAGGGTCCATATCGTTTCGGGGCGAGTTTCCTAGAAGGGAATCCGGTGATTAGGTTCGTGGCGGATAGCCATACCTTATCACCAACGTTCCATGGCTTGTAACGCTGGCCATAGGAATGATCAGCCATGCGTTGCTGCGCGAGGCTGTGGCATGCAAGGGCTTCTTCACGGATCTTGGCGAGTGACTTGACTCGGTCTTCGGCGGTTGGTAGGGTAGAGTCGGGGAAGAGATGGGGGATGCCTCGTGGTTTGTAGCCCATCATGAGATAGAAGGGAGAGGCATTTCTGGCAGAGTGTCGTCGGGAGTTATGAACGAATTCGGCCATAGGCAAGTGCTTTGCCCATTCAGAGGGAGTCGTCCGGCAGTAGATCCGGAGGTAGGTTTCGAGCTCTTGGTTGAGCCGTTTGGTCTGGCCATCTGTCTGAGGGTGGTAGGCAGTGGAAAGTGCGACTTGGTAGTCGAGGAGTCGTCCTAGCTCTTTTGCTAGCTTCGAGGCGAATTGGGGGCCTCGGTCCGAGATGATCTTGTCATAGAGTCCGAAGCGCATGAACACTTTCTTGAAGAAAAGTTCGGCTACTCCTTCCGCTGTGATGGTTTTTCTGCAAGGGCAGAGAATTACCCCCTTCATAAGCCCATGGTCTACCACGACCATGACAGAATCGTAGCCGGCACTCTCGGGGAGGTCGGTGATTAAATCAACCGAAACCTGAGTGAAGGGCCGGAGGGCCGAGGAGGGTATCGGGGTGAGGGGAGGTGTTGTGGGGTGGGTGTTAACCTTCATCTGCTGGCACATGGTGCAGCCATCGACATATTTCCTAATGAAGGAGCCCATTCCGGGCCACCAGTAGGATTTCTTGATGTTCCATTCAGTACCGGAACGCCCGGGGTGCCCGGCGGTTGGGTGATCGTGATGTAGAGACAACACGCGATGCCGGAGGTCGGGGGGAGCGTAGGCATGATCCTTATAGAAGAGAACACCATCGGTGAATCTCCAATCGGAAAGTGCAGACTTCATGGGGGGTGCGCACACCCCGGAGAGGGCGTCCAAGGCTGTTTTCACAGTCTGGTCGGAGGGGTCGTCAGAGAGTCGTTGGAACTCGTCTGCGAGTTCAGCGTCAATTAGATGGGTGAACAGGGTGTCGGGGAGGAGGATACGATCCTCGTTATCCTGACCAGCGATAGCGTGGTCCGGATGTCGGGATAAGGCATCCGGTGCAGCGAGCTTTGTTCCGGGAACGTGGTGAAGTTCCAGATCAAAGTTGGTGAGCGTGAGGTGCCACCGGGCCTGTCGTCGGGTGAGTCGTTGTGCAGAGCGGAAATAGATCAGGTTCTTGTGATCCGTGAAGACAATGACCGGGTGAGGATTTCCTTCGAGGAAGTGCCTCCAAGCCTGAAGGGCTCGGATGATGGCAAGGAGTTCCCGATCGTAGATCTCATAGTTCCGTTCGGCCGCATTGAGGGACTGGGAGAGATAGCCGCAGGGGTGGTAATCCCCATTGCTATCTGTCTGGAGTAAGACTGCTCCGGTTGCGAAGAGCGAGGCGTCAGTTGCAAGTGCAAACTGTCGTGAGGAGTCAGGGTTCCACAGAACCGGTTCGGTGGTGAAAAGCTTCTTCAGATGCTGGAATGAAGCTTCGGTGGAGTCGGACCAAGAGAAGGGGATCTCCTTCTTGGTTAGGTCTAGGAGAGGGCGTGCGATATCAGAGTAGTGGGGAATGAAATGACGGTAGAAGTTGCAGAATCCGAGGAAGGACCGCACGTCCTTGACCGAAGAGGGTTGTTGCCATTCGCTGATGCCTTTCAGCTTGGCAGTGTCCATAGCGACCTGTCCGGGTCGAATGATCATACCGAGGTACTCGACTTCTTGAGTGTCGAAAGTACATTTCTCGGGTTTGAGGAAGAGAGACTCTTTGCGGAGTTTCTCTAACACTCGGCGGGTCCTCTGCCGGTGTTCGTCCAGGTTATCTGAAAAGATTAGGATGTCGTCCATATAGACGATTAACCATCCTTCGTTCAATTCTTCTGAAAACGTCTGGTTCATGTAAGCTTGGAAGGTAGCGGGTGAATTGCACAATCCAAAGAACATTACCTTGGGCTCGAAGAGCCCATATGAGGTGGAGAACGCGGCTTTCCACCTGTCGTCGGGATGAATGAGGATATTGTTGTATCCTGAGCGTACATCGACCTTTGTGAACCATTGCGCCTTGTTGAGTTTTGCAAGCAAGGGTGGTATCAAAGGGAGTGGGTACGCGTTCTTGATGGTCCATTCGTTGATGTATCGATAGTCCTGGCAGGGGCGGA